CCTAAGTTGAATTAATTAATTAATTGAATAAAGTTAAACTATTTAATCCAAAGTAATTTTTTAAGTAAAGGGAAACTATGAATGAAAAGGAACAAGGGTTTAGATTTCATTTAATTTGAATTATACAACTGATTAATTAATTTAATCCAAGACCAAATAATAATGTCATCATATGAGATGACAGATTTTCTTCAATTAATTAACTATTTTTCTCAAATAAAGTTAATTCTTTCCTTACTTCTTAAATTAATCATATCTCTATATAATTTAAAATAAACTGATGAGTATTAAATTTTATGGAAACCTCTATTTTAAGAAGGGAGACATCTTAACTCTCTTCTCATCCTTCACTACCACATATAATACTAATTATCTCTTGGTCTTATAGTTTAATACGATTTATATTGTTATTGGTCTAATTTATACAATTCTTTCTCAAGTTCAAGCATAAATCACTAGATCAATCAAAAGGTAATCAAACTTTCAAAACATTAAGTTCAATAACATAAACTATCTTGTGAATAACTAATAGGTTTTGAATTAAACTAAAATCATTTACATAATCTAAGAATTAAAATCCATTTAACTCTAGTTCAAGTAATTTAACTACATAAAATTAAGTTTAGAACAATCATAAAAAATTAAAGTGGAAAATCCAGTAAAGAAACATTGTAAAATTAACAAGCATGAATGAGAAAACTAATCCCTAAGAATAAGAGTAAGACCAAGCTGTAGACTTTTCTTTCTCAATTGCTTGTTGCTATTACTGTTGTCGATTCCATTTTTTGCTAGTGTCTCAAAATGGGGTTGCCAGGAAGAAAGCCAAGAGCTGTAGGTCCCTAGTCCGATGGTGAAGTTGTTAGGCAAAATATCTAAATCCACCCCTAAAGTATAGTGACAGGGACAAATTCACCCCTGAACAAAAAACGAGGACAAATCTACCGATAAAATTTTCAATTTGGACAAATCATTTTAAATTTAATGTATGACATCATTTGACGTTAATAATTGTTAATTTGTTATGTTACTAATAAGTTCATTGTTAACAGATTGCTGATATTAGATGATGTCATATGTTAAATTTGGGGTGATTTATCAAAATCGAAAACTTTGTTGGTGGATTCGTCCCCTTTTTTGTTTGAGGGTGGATCCGTTCTTACCACTATGCTTTTGGAGTAGATTTGGGTATTCTACCAAGTTGTTTATACATATATATATATATATATACACACATATATATGGGAAAAGTGCATATTAGTCCCGACTTCTAAAATAAATTATAGTTCTAACCTTAAACTACATCTTTTTATTTAATTAAATCTTAATTCAAATTTTAAAAATTTATTTTATTAAATATTAATATTTAGATGTGAAAAACTGATTATATTAAAATGTAAAATCGGTTTCCAAATCTAGATATTAACATTTAATATGGTGGATTTCTAAATTTTGAATTAAGATTTCAATTTCCAAATGTGGGTTGGGACTCTAATTTTTTTTGGAGTCGTGATTAATACATACTAACCTCTCTCTATATATATATAATATTACTTCCACCACATATTTTCTTTTAGCCCATGATTTTCTAAGAATTGTCTACTTATGATGCAATTAAGGCTTGAGATGGAATCAAGGCCCATGAATTGTCTCAACAAAATATCCAAATTCACCCCCAAAGTATAGTGGTAGGGATGGATCCATCCCCGAACAAAAAATGGGGACAAATCCGCCCATAAAGTTTTTGACTTGGACAAATCACTCCAAATTTAATGTGTGATGTCATCTGACGTCAACAATCTGTTAATTTGTTATGTCGCTTATAAATTCATTGTTAATAGATTACTGATATTAAATGATGTTACACGTTAAATTTAGGGTGATTTGTCAATGTCAAAAACTTTTTGGCTGGATTTGTCTCCGTTTTTTGTTCAGAGGTGAATCCATCCCTACCACTATACTTTGGGAGTGGATTTGAGTATTCTACCAAATTGTCTCACTCCTTCTAACAAATCATATGTCAAGTTTGGAATTGGCAATTAAAATTTCACCTCAAAAACATTTGAACTAGGTTGAGTGTATCAAAGATAAATTGTAGATCTATCTCTTAACTTTTCAATGCCTCAAAAATCACCTCAATCTGGTATTTAGAGAGAAAGTTATGGTTGAAATGTCATTGCATGCTCAAGCTGCCACTAGTTGAAGAATTAATTTCTATTAAGTTAGTTTTTTAATCTTCACCTACAAAACAATGAGATTGATGTAAATATAGGTAAGACTAAGTTATAAAGAATACATAAAAATTAGTTTTTAAGTCAGAAAAAAGTATATAAATGTATATAAAAAATAAATTTATCATGCTTTTCTACAAAATAGGTTATTTTCTTCGTAGTGAATGTCTTTATCTATAGGCAAAAGGAGGAGGCATTTTTGAATAAATATTTTGGTATACTTTAATGGGATTTTTTATCTTGTGCCTTTAGGATATAGGATAAGAGTGTACTTATTATACCCTTTTATTATTAATATTCATAATAAAATTAAAAAGTTGACATTAAATTTACAAATTATTCAATAAAAAATATTTATATATCAAAGATGTTAAAATTAATGTCAATTTTTTCATTTTTCTATGTAGAACAATGTATTAAAATTGCATTTAAAGCTCTCTTAACATATATCTTAAATGTACAGATTAGACAACTTTATTTTAATTAGGTTATGCGACTCTACCATGTGTTTTAATATTATTTAATTTAAATAAAATATGTGTCATCATCTTATTTGATTATGTGTCTTCATTTTTTTTTTTTAATTAGACACAACACTATGCAATTTTGTCAGAATTAGTACTAGTAGATTTTGATCTAGTGTGAATGACGTTATATGAATCTAATCAAATCTTAGTTTATAACATGATCCAATGATCTAAAAATATTTTTGTGTTTACAAATGCTCCCATTTCAAGACTTGACTTAAGCCATACTTGCATACGTGCTAAAGGCTAACCTCGAAGTATATTTAATTTAATTCAAATTATTTTTTTCATCGGAGGAATCAATTGAACGTAGTATTTTCTTTTTTTCAATTTTTGGGACCTTTGCTCAAGAAGACTAGGTCCAAATTTGTTCTGAATTAGGCCAATTTTTATAGGGGCCAAGAAGTAAGCCCCCAATTTGTAGGCATTAAAAATTAGAATTTCCCTATATTTGAGATTGGCTTAAATGCAAGGAATAAATTTTCTTCCATTTTTTTTCTTTCTTTCTTTTTTTTTTAAAAAAAAAAAATCAAATCTGACTTCTCTCTTTTTGTATATTGTCTTTGAATTTCTTTTCTTGCTCTAAAACACAACTATTAATTTCACTTAATGCTGCAACCGCAACACAAGATCTTGGTTTTCTTGAAGACCAAGGTGCAACACTCCTACCAACGTTTTAGGGCAGGTCCCACATGATTAGGGCTATAAATTTAGGATTATTAGAATCCTAGCACCACCCTCATGTGCCAGCGATTGCAACAGGTCCCAGTGACCATTGCCCTTCTCCCACCCTTTCGTTTCTTTTGTTCGCCCTTTTTTTTTCTTTTTTTGTCTTGACTTCTTGTGACTTACCATCCTTTTAATATCTTGGGTCCCATCAGAACATGATGGGTGATCTTATAAAAAATCCTTGTGTTGTACCTCTCGTTCTCATTTTTATCTATAAAAATTTAGTAAAAATTAGTATTTATTATTTTAAAATTTTAATTTAAGATTAATGTTAAAAATTCAAATCTTTGTGTTATTGATT